TGTGTGTGTGTGTAATATATATATATATATATATAAAATATATATACACAGGATGACCCGTTAAAGGATACCCTACATATATGTATATACATCTGTAATGTATTTGTAAGCTATTTGACATCGTAATAACTTAATATATACACAAAATAGCAAAAGAGTGATATTTTATATCATAAACTTGTTAGAATCCAATCTTTGAGACAGTATTATCATATTTCTTTTTCTATCTTCATTTCTTAACAGAGACAAAAATATGTACGAATATCAATATCATGTCATTTTTACTCATCAAATATGTATTCATTATTTTCTGTATCAACATACTTATATCAATGAATGTTTTCTCACAACGTAATCTATATAGAAATGTATTTAATTAATTTTTTTGTTAAACTTCTTCACTGTATTTACTTTCCAGAGGAATTAATAATAATTATTTATCCCAAAAGTACCAATAATGATTCAATGCATGCATGCTGCTAATTTCAGTGCAACATGCTGTCCCTGAATTAATGTATGCACATGCTGTAACAACTTGTTTACATTGCGAGAATAAGCTAAGATTGTTAAATCAGATTAGATAATGAAGTAAGTGAGCTTTATCTTAGAAGCATTAGAATGGTTGCCTAATGAATATCTATGCAATGTTAAGTGCTCTTGAAGCAGCAATATATTTCGAGCCATACCAGCTTTTTTTACAACAGTATCGGGTTCAGGTTCTGAGAATTCTTTTCTCATAGTCCACATGTACTCATTATAATCCTGCTTAATGCTAGTACTGGATGATGCGACGACTTTGTAACCGAGTACCTCTAAAGCAGTCAATATTATGCAAGGATGTTGCAAATATACTATCGTTGAGTCGTCGCAATATCCTATAGTGGAGAACCGACTCAATTGCTCTATGTCAGCCGCTATAACATAATTGAATATTATTTGTACCTAAAAAATCGTTGCTTTATTACACCTGCAATATTTCTAGCCACAACATTATCTCCTCTAATCTTCAAAGATGTGTCAATTTATCCTAAGAATACATTATTTTATTATCTTGTGTTATTACGTGTATTATTTTTATTACGTAGAAAGATTTTTATTATGTAGAAAGATTACAAAAGAAATGTTAGATAGAATTTTCAAACATAATTCACGAATCGTAGGGCACTTTATTTAATTAAAAAGTTTGAAAAAGCAAAAAAATAACATATATATTTGTGTAAGGGCAAATGTAGAGGAGTCTTCGTACCTTTAAGCCCTGACACTAAAACTCTCCAGGGATATTTATGACTGTATGATGCTAGGTTGCCACGTACTAGAATGTATGGCATCTGTAATAGTCAGCTAAAACAATCTGTAATAGATGATGGATATGTGTAACACATATTTAAATAAATAGTGTTAGACCTCTCTACACAACTGCTAATCTGATATATCTGACATGAGAATTATTCCTATGTGCAAATTGGTGTACAATTTGGAACATATCTGTTAAAATTTTAACCTTTTCAATGCAATTTATGAATTGAATGTTATAAACATTAGACAAGGTCCAGAGAGTTTAAAAGGATCATCACATCATTCAAATGCCTTTAGTCTTATTGCAAAATCAATAGGTCAATTATACTTATTGATTAATATTACACAAAATTAAAATTATTAAAACAACTTAAAAAATAATAAT